CATTTCAATACATAACAGCACTTCTGTAAAAAGTTATAGATCATATCCCATTATGCCCCGCCGTTCCGTTATGCCCCGGGTTCCCCTACTTGTCTCGCAATTAATTACAACGTAATGAGGACTGCACGGGGATAGTTTTCTTGTAAAATTTACCCCGCAAATCACGTAATAGCGGGACAACGTGGCATTTCGAATTTTATGAGTTTTTCGAAATTTTACCATACATTTCACTAGTAAAATGTACACCAACAATAAGTATAATTGCTAATAAAAAGTGTGGTAAAATTAAGAAAAAAAAACCCTCATAAAGTTCTTCGAAATGCCGCGTTGTCCCGCGACGACATGACAGGATAAATTTTAAGAGAAAAGTTTCTCCGTACGTGGAAAGTGAGTTGCACTTATACAATTATCTTTCAGAGACATATTTGACGAATTGTGTCGCCTCAGAATTCGAAGTGTGCAGGACTTTGAGTGGTTGAAACAATGCCGATTTTATTACCAGGACGATTCGGAGGAAGTCTCAGTTAAGATAACCGACATGGAATTTGTTTATCAAAATGAATTCCTGGGTTGTACAGATCGACTTGCAATCACGCCGCTCACAGACAGGTGTTACATAACACTGGCACAAGCCGTGGGTATGACACTTGTACCAGGGGAAAAATAGTGTATAAAATAGCATTTGCACTGGGTATTTACGTCATATTATTTACCGTCGTCCCTTGAAAATATTTGTTTAGGAATGAATTTCGGCGGAGCTCCCGCAGGTCCTGCCGGCACGGGCAAAACAGAAACGACGAAAGACATGGGGAAAGCGCTGGGTAAATACGTCGTTGTTTTTAATTGCTCCGATCAAATGGATTTTCGAGGTTTGGGCAGAATATTTAAAGGACTCGCGCAATCCGGTAGCTGGGGATGCTTTGACGAATTTAATCGAATTGATCTACCAGTGTTATCCGTCGCCGCACAGCAAATAGCAATCGTGCTCAATGCGCGAAAAGAGAGAAAGACAACTTTCTTGTTCAGGTGCGAGAAAGAAATTGATAATTTTAATACAAACTCAAGCGGGCGATGCTTTTGTTTAAAATTTCGAAATTTAAATCTTTACAGAAAAGTTTTATCATTTATTTCAAATTTTCTCCGTTTCACTAATTACATAATCTTTAATAAATATTATTTTATTACGTAACTCCTTTATTTCTATAATAAATTATATTACATTTAGCATATTATACTTTATTTGCAGCGACGGCGAGACATATAAACTCAATTATGAATTCGGAATATTTATTACGATGAATCCCGGATATGCGGGACGGCAAGAATTGCCGGAAAATTTAAAAATACAATTTAGAAGTGTGGCGATGATGGTTCCTGACAGACAAGTACGTTATGATATTATTGTGCGCTTTCGCATGTTAAAATATGAGTGCTACGTACCAGAAAAAATCGGATTTATAATTTGTCTCGTGAAATTTTATTTAATTCCGTAACTTTAATTCCGCTTTAGATCATAATGCGAGTGAAACTCGCGGCGTGCGGCTTCAAAGAGAACGTGGTGTTAGCGCGAAAATTTTTTATACTGTACAAGTTGTGCGAGGAGCAGCTCAGCAAGCAGGTACATTATGACTTTGGATTGAGGAATATCCTGTCGTGCCTTCGCACGCTTGGCGCCCAGAAACGCGCGCATCCCACCGATTCCGAAGAAACCACGCTTATGAGGGTACTACGGTAAGTTTATGCTATCAACTGTTGTAAGTTATATTTTGGCCCAACAAGTCATTTGAGCACTGAAGGAAGAGATCATCGAAATCTGTGTCGATTTTTCTCACTTAGCGATATGAATTTATCGAAATTAATGGATGAAGACGAGCCTCTTTTCATGTCGCTCATTGAAGATATGTTCCCGGGTGTTAAGTTAACGACGCAGACATACAAAGAGTTAGAGAAGGCAATAAGTAACGCTAGTGTCGCCCTTGGCATTACGGATCACAGGGAATGGAAATTGAAAACTGTTCAGGTGTCTTCAATACGTTAACGTATTTATGACTTCCTTGTTTGCGTTCCATATAGTCTCTTGTTTTAAAACTATAAGTTGAACGCTTCTTAAACAAACGTAATTTTTTAAATATTTGTGTAAATCTGCTTAAACAAGTTTTTCAAAGTGCTTTTTAAAGTCTTAAGTACACGCAGAGAGAATGTTCTTTGAAAATTTACCCTGAAGATCGCGTAATCGTGAGACAACGTGGCATATTGAAGAACTTTATGAGGGCTTTTTGAAATTTTATAATTACTAGTAAAATGTATCGTAAAATTTCCAAAAACTCTTATAAAGTTCAAGATGCCACGTTGTCCTACGATTACACGTTTTCAAGGTACATAAGAGAAAATTCTTTTTTTATGAGTTTTTTGAAATTTTACTAGTAAAAGTGGAACAACATTTACTTCGAAGGACTTTATGAGAGTTTCTTTTGAAATTTTACCATATATTTTACTAGTGAAATGTGGAGTAAGTCTAAAATTACTAGTAAAATGTAAGGTAAAATTTCAAAAAACTCAGAAATTTCTAAATGCTACGTTGTCCTACGATTACATGTTTTCAGGGCACATAAGAGAAAATTCTCTCTTTATGAGTTTTTGAAATTTTACTAGTAAAAGTGGAACAGCATTCATTTCGAAGAGCTTTAGGAGAATTTAAAAAAAATTTTGCCATATATTTTACCAGGAAACTCTCATAAAGAGAGAATTTTCTGTTATATGTATATCCTGAAAATCACGTAGGGGCAACGTGGCATTTTGAACATTATGAGAGTTTTTTTAAAAGTTGCCCCACGATTACATGATTTTCAGGGTACATTTTAAGATAAACTTCTTGTATGTACACAGAATTAATATAAGTTAAATTATCGAGGGAAAAGTAATGATAGCGATGTCGGTGATATTTAGCTGTACGAAACGTCGCTCGTTCGCCACGGTTTGATGGTTCTCGGGCCGACGGGATCTGGTAAAACGCGATGCATGTGGGCGCTAATGAGAGCTCTAACAGAGATGGGTGTACCACACAAAGAAATTAGAATGAATCCAAAAGTCAGTATCTGCTAATGATAGATTTCGTTATATCAGCTACATTGATACGGGAATAATTCTTTCCTGTGTGAGAAAATAGGCGATAACTTCGTCCCAAATGTTTGGAAGACTCGATGTCGCGACGAATGACTGGACGGACGGTATATTCTCTATTATATGGCGGAGGTCCACGCAAACGAAGAAGACGGAAAATCTGTGGCTGGTATTAGACGGCCCCGTTGACGCGGTGTGGATTGAAAATTTAAATTCCGTCCTGGACGACAATAAAACTTTAACACTGGCAAACGGCGATCGCATTATAATGGCAGCAAATACTAAATTAGTATTCGAGCCCGACAACGTGGATAATGCGTCCCCGGCGACTATATCGCGTATGGGAATGGTATTCGTCAGTGCCTCTGTGCTGAAGTGGAATTCAATTTTAGAGGTAATATGGATCTGGGATTTTGTAATAATGAGATATTCCCTGCGCGGAAGCTTATTGTGATGTTGCCATACTTTTAATACAGGGCTGGCTTAGAAAATGTTCCAGCAACGAGGCTCGAGTGTTACGAACGTTATTTCATAAAATATACGGGGATGCGCATACGTTCGTTCAAACAAAGCTACAAACTAAAATGATGCTTTTGGAGGCGCTTTATATACGGCAGTGTATTGACTTATTGGAAGGATTAAATGTCGGAAATTTTGACCCAACTAGTAAATATGAAAATTTCTCTTTTACATACGAATATTTATTCACTCAGCATGCAACAAACAGCAAACACTTTAGCAGAACATATTTACTTTATCGTATTTACTCTTTCCGTGCGTATCTTCTTTCCAAATATTCCTTTAATTTATCTTGTCTTTTCCCTTCTTAAGTACGTTATTAATTTGCACTTGTAGCTTTTAATGATGTTTGTATAAAAACAATTTTACCTTGTAATTAGATATAAATCTTAAACAAAGTACTTGTTAAATATTTCACGAAGTTGTCATTTTTAGAAATATTATCTGAGCACCACATCGAGATGCTGTTCTTATTCTCTCTTATGTGGAGCTTGGGAGCTATGTTAGAGCTAGACGGACGGTTTGCACTACAGGAATATCTCGTAAATCATGAATCAAATTGCAACTGGCCGCAATGCACAGTTCGTATATAATAATAGCTTTACACGTCATTTAATTCGTTAAAGCCCGACGCATGCTGTTATTATATAATATTTTCACGGCTTATGAATATTCGATTTACAGGATGACGAAACTATTTTCGAGTATCTAGTGTCGGACGACGGAAAATGGATACACTGGGGTAGAATGGTGCCAGAATTTGAATATCCGTCGGACCGTGTCTTAGAATACCATTCTATTCTTGTCCCTAATGTCGATAATACGAGGACATTATATCTAATCGATATTATAGCGAGACAGGAGAAGGCAGTGCTTTTAATAGGTGGGCGCACACGTTAGCATAATTTTAGTAATTGGATTGACTCGGCTGGTATTCTGTAAATAGATTAAACATTATTCTAATGTTAATTGCACATTATGAATATGGATTGTTACAACATGGATTATACGACAGGGGAAGCCGGCACCGCGAAAAGCGTAATGATGAAAAGCTATATGTCCAAGCACGATCCCGAATATCATTTGAATAAGTTCTTCAACTTTTCCTCAGCGTCCACGCCGAACATGGTCCAGGTAATAACTCCAGGCGTTATAGTGTCGCGAGTCGCCGATTTAAATGTTTAATTATGCTGATACGGCTATGCTAATTATTTCGTCGCGTAAACCGCCGCTTTCTTCCAGCGCGTATTCGAGAGCTACGTTGAAAAGCGAGTGGGCACCACTTACGGTCCGCCCGGTGGGCGGAAAATGACGATCTTTATCGACGATATAAATATGCCGGCCATAAACGAATGGGGCGATCAGATCACAAACGAAATCGTACGCCAGCTAATGGAGTACAAAGGGTTCTACTCCCTGGACAAACCGGGCGACTTCTGTACCATGCAAGATATTATGCTACTCGCCGCGATGCATCATCCGGGCGGGGGACGAAATGATATTCCACCGCGATTGAAACGGCAGTTCAACATTTTCAATTGCACATTACCGTCGAACAGATCCGTGGATACAATTTTCGGTACGGACATTGATCGCTCGTTCGGCGAGACGCACGACGAGCAGAAATTGATAGAGCGTCAATATGAAAATTACAGGCGTCATCGGCCAAGGCTACTTTTGCAGCGCGAGATTCTCCGATACCGTCGTCAATTTCCTGCCGAAGCTCATACCGTTGACTCGGGTATTATGGCAGCAAACTAAAGCGAAGATGTTGCCGACTCCGGCCAAGTTTCATTACGTTTTTAACTTGCGCGACCTTTCTCGTATCTGGGAGGGGATACTCAGAATAGAGAGGGCCGAGTGCGAGTCTGTAACGACGCTGCTTAAATTATGGGAGCACGAATGCACGCGCGTGATAGCGGATCGGTTCGTGCCTTTTGTAATTACGGAACGGAAGTGCCTTTGCTTCATTCGCTTAAACCCGTGACAAATTCATTCGTAGCTTCATCACCGCCGCCGATAAAGAGTGGTTCCAAAATACGCTGCGACGGGCCGCGGAGAGGATGCTGGGTCCAGATTTTCAGTTTTATTCCCCGGTCGAGACATACTTCGCTGACTTTTTGCGCGAACCGCCAGAACCGACGGGTGACGAGCCGGAAGATTTTGTATTAGAGGCGCCGAAGGTTTATGAGGAGATACCGAGGTACGCCGTCGAACTTTTAGGGCTACCATCCGTCCGGTTTTCCCCGGATTTGTCCTAGTTCCGGGGACGTCCGGGTTTTAAACCTTTCTGTCCTAGGCCAGTAAAATTACAGATGGCAGCCCCAATCGAACTGAACTTCTTGTCCAATGCAACGAACTTAAAAAAAGTAGACAGCCATGTACTTTTACATATTTTCTCTCGTAGCTACGACGTCGTTATCGCAAAAGTTGAGCAGAATATGGAGCAATTTAATGAATACGTACGCGGCATGCATCTCGATCTGGTCTTCTTCCACGATGCCCTGGTGCACTTGATACGAATATCGAGAATACTTGGAGTTCCCAGGGGCAATGCGCTGCTGGTAGGTATCGGGGGATCCGGCAAGCAAAGCCTGACGCGACTGGCATCCTTCATTGCGGGATATAACTTCTTTCAAATAACGTTATCCAGGCGAGTATCACGATTTAGGCATCCATAAATGTGTCCTGTAACAAATATAACATGTTAATATAACAGGGTTGGGGAAGTTACTTTATAAAGGTGTCTAGTTACCAGTTTTTTCGCTGAAAATGTAACTACCCGTACAGCACAGAAAGTTAAAATAATATTGCTGAAACGTTGCAATGTTGAATGTTGAAGTATAAATATCCTTTCTACGTTGAATCTAGGTTAATGTTTGTACATTAATCCTTTATATTGTTGCAACGTTAAAACAATCTTGAACAAATTATTGTTTTTTGACAATCGAATGGATACTTACAAAATTTATAATTGTGAAATGTATATGTATAATATCTTTGCAACGGTCAGAAATTTTCTGAGCTAAGATTGGATTGGAGGAATAATTCAATTTCCGCACTTCCAACAGTTGCAAAAAATATTCCGCTAAAGGCGACCAATGTTAACTCAATATAATTTAACAATGTTTTTCCGAACGTTGAACTGTAACGTTTACAAGGCATTACAATTCGGCCATTAGACGTTCCTGCAATATCTTTTCTACGTTGAATCTACGTTTCGTAACATCTCTGGATTGATAGGGTAAAGGCGGGCCATAGTTTTGATTTGAGGTCATAATTTTCAAACCGCTGGTTTTTTTATTTTGTAACTTTCTGAAATTCTAGTGTATTTAATAAGCTTTGATGACAAAATGTTTCGATCAATTAAAATCTATCCATATTCGAAGAAAAAGAAAGAATCTGAAAGTATGCGTTTTGGCCATATTAAACGTGGGGTGGATAATATGGCCAACTATAAAAAAAGTGTACAAAACAGTAATATTTTGCAAAAGTGAGGTATTTACTTTAATCGTACAGAACATAAACTTTGAAATATTTTAAACATACGAGTACACATTTAAGAAATGTGTATGTGTATGTCCACTCTCTCTACGTAACGCCGTGCTCTCACAATTTATTAATAAATTGTGAGAAATAACTATTTTCTTTCTTCGCTGTTATCACTCTCAGCACTGGCGTACACTACACTCTGTTGTACTCGCTGGCCATAGTAGCTACCTTTGTCGCTGGCCATATATTAGCCGCCGAGCATACATTTAATAATGTGCATTATAATTATCAAAATAATGGGCAAAGCACGATAAATTTATTATAAAAATATAGCCAAGTTTCAGGTTTTGAAATGTGTAATGAGAAAAGCCAAAATTATTTTGTTTTAATTTGAAAATCTTAGTTGGAAGTGCCATGTCTCACTTTGACGTGTATATTTTGATGGTTATGGAGAACAATGAAGCACCAAATCACAAATAACAACAAAATAGAGAGATTTTTTTTACCAAACTTTAAGAATAGCTACAATAATTGGTTTTTATACATTATCGATGTTTATCAATATTTAAAATATTTAATACGGGCGTTGTGGCCATATTACCCGCCTGGCCATAATGCCTGCCTTTACCCTATATGTATAATATTTTTGCAACGGTCAGAAATTTTCTGAGCTAAGATTGGATTGGAGGAATAATTCAATTTCCGCACTTCCAACAGTTGCAAAAAATATTCCGCTAAAGGCGACCAATGTTAACTCAATATAATTTAACAATGTTTTTCCGGACGTTGAACTGTAACGTTTACAAGGCATTACAATTCAGCGGCCATTAGACGTTCCTGCAATATCTTTTCTACGTTGAATCTACGTTTCGTAACATCTCTGGATTGATACAATATTGCAATGGTGTAATGGAACGTTTCTGAGATGTTGATTCAACATTTGTGTGCTGTATGGGAGGCCTGATGCAATCCATGGGGGTTTAAAGAAAATATAAAGTAACTATTAATGTAGCTATTAAATTGGCTACATTGCTAGTTATCGAAAAAATGTAACTGAGTTAAGTTACAGACGGAGAAAAAGTAACGAAGTTAAGTTAGAGTTACGAAAGAAAAACTGCAACTGTAACTTCGTTACAAGTAACGAGTTACTTCCCAACCCTGAAATATAGTAATATCAATGATCAGGTATTGCAAAACGCAAATTGCGGAAGATAATTACAATTTCCAATCTCAATTTTACCACACATTAAGATTTTTGTATACACAGGTTTGTAGAAAAATTGCGCGAGTGTTTCCCGCGCGTGTACAGTGATGGGAAGAATGTCTCACTTTATTTTTAATTTGAGCTTAGTCCTGTTTACAATAATAGACAAAATATAGTCAGATTACATTAGGTTGCATGCAATTTCATTGTAATATTAATATCTCTTATTTATTTACATTGAAGTTGCGTGTAATCTAATGCAATCCGATCGTATTCTAATATTTTAAGCAGGGATGAACTCGAGCAATAGACCAGAAACGCTCAAAATGGTTTCGGAATGGCCGTCGAGTAAAATATTTCTCGGAGGAGATTTTTAACGTAACTCTCATTCTAAATGCATGTTCCTAAAGTTATTTAAAAAAAAGTGCCGCAACCATTCCGTCCATCGCTGTGCTCTGGATGTGATCGAAAATATGTATATAAGGAAACGATATAATTATATCTTCAGGATTTATAACGTAGCCAGCTTGATGGACGATTTGCGAAAGTTGTATCGCGCCGCCGGTGTAGACAGCAAAGGTCTCACCTTCATTTTCACGGACAACGAAGTAAAAAGCGAGGCATTTTTAGAATATATAAACAACATATTAAGCGTCGGCGAAGTGGCCAATCTATTTCCAAGGGACGAATTGGACGACATTCTGACGACTGTCACGCCGCTGATGAAAAAAGCCGATCCCCGGCGGCCCCCGACGCAAGACAATCTTTATGATTATTTCATATCGCGAGCGAGAAATAATCTGCATATAGTCTTGTGCTTTTCACCAGTGAGAACAAATTCTTCCCTACCGTTGCTGCTATTTGCATTAGTTATTTTTATTCCCCCTCACTGGACTGTTAAATTGCACGGGTCCATAATTTGCACAGGTCAGTGGCAAGTTTAGATCCCGGGCGTTAAAATTCCCCGGCCTTATATCCGGTTGCACGATAAATTGGTTTTTGAGATGGCCGAGGGATGCGCTGTACGCAGTCGGCGAGCACTTCCTCGGCACATACAAAGTTATATGCAGCCCGGAAGTAAAACAACAGTTGACTCAAGTTGTGGGCGATATTCAAGATGACGTAAGCGATACCTGCGCGGAATACTTTAACAGGTTCACTATATTTTCTCATCAGTCCTTCATGTGTAAATATTAAGCTGATTTACAAATTAATAAAATTCGTGTGGTTCAAATGCGATAAGCACAAATTTGAAGGAACGAAGGACTAAAAGCCGTGACAGGGTGTTAGTGTCTAAATATTTCATATTTTAAACTTAGCCAGGGTTTGAACCTGGACCTCCCTCTCGCTAGGCGGGCGTCTCAACTAATTCGACCACCGGGACATATAATTAATATAATTAAGCGCATAATTAAGGCATAAAAGTAAGCTAATTTAATTTCAACGAATGCAGATTCCGACGTCAAGTATACGTGACTCCGAGATCATTTTTAACGTATCTCGATAGTTACAAGACGCTTTACAAGCAACGTTTGGACAATATTAATATGCTTGCTTCTCGCATGAGTAGCGGTTTAAGTAAATTAGTTGACGCTGCCGCCCAGGTCGACGTGTTACGGCACGAATTGGAAAAAACTCAAGAGGAGATCGCAGCGAAAAATGTTCAAGTGGAGGCGGTGAGCGAGATATTTTTGTGCAAACATCAATCCCGTTAGAGATTCCCTAATTTCACATGTAATAACGTAATACACGCACATTTAGATTCTTGTTACTGTGAATGAGAAAAAGAGAGAGGCCGAGGGTGTAAAGGCAAGGGTGCAAGTGTCGAAGGATGAAGCGGAGGCGATTCTGAAAGTGATAGCGAAAGATAAGGCGCTGGCGGAACAGAAGCTGGAAGCCGCGGAGCCCGCCTTGTTGGAAGCAGAAGCCGCGTTGCAGGTGCTGCGCCGCGACCGATAATTGATATCATTTGCGTCAGACGTTGACGCAGACATTCATTGACAGCAACATATTTCAGACCATAAAAGCAGCAGACATCGCTACCGTTCGTAAATTGGCCAAACCGCCGTATTTAATTACGCTCATAATGGACTGCGTTCTGATTCTATTCGGGCGGAAGTTGGAACCAGTCAAGCCGGATTACGAGCATCAATTTCTAACACCTTCGTGGTCAGAGTCGTTAAAGGTGAGCGCATGTTAATTGCTCAACGTCGATGAACGATACTGGGAAAGGGTCTTATTTTAAGTTAAACGGAAAGTATTCGCACGCTACCTTTCGCAGGTCCTGGCTGACATCAGATTTCTATATAATTTACAAAACTTCCCGAAGGATAATATCAACGCCGAAACTGTCGACTTAATAATGCCGTATTTAAATTTCCACATGTACACTTACGAGGCCGCGAAGCAGGCCTGTGGCAATGTTGCGGGTCTCATACAGTGGACCATCTCCATGGTTGCTTTTTACGAAATAAATAAAGATGTGCTGCCTTTGAAGGTATTTCCTGTTAATAAACATTGTTGCGGGCGAGAGCGACCGGCGTCGCTCCACGGCTCGTAGGAGGAGAAACGCTCTGTGCCAATATGCATAGTATAACGTATTTATTTTCTCCCACTTTTCAAATTATAAAATAACGTCGGTCGTTCTGCAGCTACGACAGGAATATACATAAATACAGCGTTAAGAAACGTGTAACGAGAAAGGGTCGCTTTGCAGGCAAATCTTGCCGTGCAAGAAAATTATTACGAGAAGGCCAACAAAAATTTACTCGAAGCGGAAGAATTATTGGGAGAGAAGGACGACGCTCTAAAGATAGTTCAAAATGAATTCGATGCCGTGATGCGAGAACGACAAGTACGGTAACAATATTAATGCAACTGAAATTAGTTGTGTAACGTGTACGCTGTAAAAGTCAATCAGCGGATTATCACTGAAGGCAGCGAACATTCAACGTTTTTTTTTCTTTGTTAGATAATCGTCGACCAAGCTGCGGCTTGCCAAGCGAAAATGGATGTCGCAAGCGCCATGATTGAAGGATTATCTGGAGAACAAATAAGATGGACAGAACAAGTGACTGTATTTAAGTCGGAGACGGAGCGGCTCGTTGGAGATGTGTTGGTCTTGACTGGGTTTCTTTCTTATTGCGGGCCGTTTAATCAAGAGCTCCGAGTTCTTTTGCAAAGGAAATGGCTTGACCTCATACAAGATAGGAAGATCCCAGTCTCTGGCATCCTAAACGTTGTCAATACGTTGACAGATACAGCCACGGTAGCGTTGTGCAAATCAGCAAATCACTGGCACAAAAAGTATAAGTAAAGTTCGCAATGAGTGAATGATCATCCAATCTGCCGTAGATTGGTGACTGGAGCCTGCAAGGTCTGCCAACCGACGAATTATCGCTTCAAAATGGAATAATTGTGACGAAAGCAGCGAGATATCCGCTATTGATTGACCCGCAACTGCAGGGCAAGACTTGGATTAAAAATAAAGAGAAGGAGTTTGACTTACAGGTACAACAATGAGACAAACTGTGGATTGCAATGAGATTGATTTAACACGCCCTGGCGCATTTTCTAGATAACGTGGTTCACGCACAAGTACTTTAGAAATCACCTGGAAGATTCGGTATCGATAGGACGGCCATTATTGATTCAGGACGTGGGGGAAGAAATAGATCCGGTGTTGGACAACTTGCTGGAGAAGAATTTTATAAAAATAGGAACCTCCTACAAGGCAAAAGGATATCTTAGATTGTATTCTTTGTGTGATTTCATATTTACTGTGACTTGTCATTACACAACAGGTCAAATTAGGCGACAAAGAAGTGGATATTAGCAAAGACTTCAGGCTTTATATTACGACAAAGTTACCGAATCCCTTTTACACTCCGGAAATATTCGCCCACACATCTATAATTGATTTTACTGTTACAATGAAAGGTGAAAGTGTATTCCATTTCTGTCTAGTATAGAGGAAAGTTCTTTATTGTGAAATAGTAGGTTTTCACCATCAAAATTCACAATGATTACACGATAATAATGAATCTTCCACTAAACAGATCTCGCTCCAAGGGCAATAAATTCACGATGAAATAGATGATGCCTATTAGATTAGCAAAAACCCTGCTATCTCACATTAGGAGCTTATTACATAATAGAGGATTTTCCTTGTAAAAATATCCTTTTTACTATAATTTTGTTCAATCCACATTACGCTTTGCCTTCGCAGGTCTAGAGGATCAATTGTTAGGACGAGTCATCTTAACAGAGAAGAATGAGTTGGAGACGGAAAAGACGCAATTGATTGCCGACGTGACCGCGAATAATAGAAAAATTAAAGAATTGGAGACAAATCTTCTACAAAAATTGGGAACTGTACAAGTATGTATTACATCGTTTTCTTTGCAGCACCAGTCAAACATACAATTAATTATTGTATATCCTCTCTGTACGCTTCGTTCTTTTGAAGGGGCCTTTGATAGAAGACGTTGAATTAATGTCGGTGTTAAATACCACGAAGCAAACAGCGGCGGAGATAAATAGAAAGCTGGATATCGCAAAGGATACGGAGCTAAAAATCGACGCGGCACGCGAAGAATTCCGATCGGTCGCAACGCGCGGTAGCGTTTTATACTTCCTGATATGCGACATGCCGCATGTCAATTGCATGTACCAAACGTCCCTCGCTCAATTCTTAGAACGATTCGATATCTCAATGGCAAGGTAAATATAGTTCTTCGCGCAATGCAAGCTGCGACCTGCGTCGCGGAAACATTCCCGACGTAAATAAATCTTATTTTGTTGAGGCATCAAACCCTTATTCTCGAACCAGGTCCGAAAAGAGTCCGATCAATCAGAGAAGGATAAACAGCATCATCGAATACCTGACTTACGATATATTCAATTACAAAGCGCGCGGGCTCTACGAGATACACAAATATATGTTCATTTTGTTGATGACGCTGAAAATCGATTTGCAACGCGGCAGCATTACGCACGAGGAGTTTCAGTACCTCATTAAAGGCGGCGCGGCACTGGACTTAAAAGCAGTCGAGCCGAAGCCTTGCAGATGGATCACGGACGTGACGTGGCTTAATTTAGTTGCACTGTCGTCATTACGACAATTTCAGTACATCGTGTCTCAAGTGCCCGCTTCCGAGAAAGTTTGGAAACATTGGTTCGACAAAGATGCACCGGAGGAGGAAGGCATTCCAGACGGTTACAGCACGCTAGATATGTTCCGTCGATTGCTCTTGATAAGGTAATCCTTCCAGTGAGATTATCTTTGCGAATTAAAAAATTCAGGTCTACCGTAATGTAATTGAAATCTGTACAGAATTTTTATTTAAAACTTACCCGGAAAATCATGTAATCGCACGGACATTTTGAACAATTTTATGAATTTCTTGAAATCTTAGAAAAATAAAAAATATGGAAAGTAAGTTTGGACACTTCAAACTTTTATCTAAGGTAAACTTAAAAAATTAATAAAATTCGTACGGTTCAGGTGTGATAAACACAAATTTGAAGGAATAAAGGACTAAGAGCCGTGACAGGGTGTTAGTATCTAAATATTTTATTCTAAATTTATTGCGAAAAAAAACTAAAAATTTAATGCGGTTTTCTTCTTACGAGAAAGTGCTTTGTCGTGCGGCCCTCTAGCGGGAACTTCGACAGGCTTGGCTATCTAAAAATTCCTTCAAGTGTCCAAAATTGCTCTAAAATTTCCTAAGTAAAATTTTTAACTTCTTTAAGTAAACTCTTAGATTTGACGGATAACTTTTGAAAACTTTAATTTTGTTTAAAGTAAATTCTCCCAAGGGCTACTAGGGATTTTACTAATGTAATTATTCATACTTTTGCTAGTAGAGTAAAATGTATAATAAAATTGAAAAAAACTCATAAAGTTCTTCGAAATGCCACATTGTCTCACGAATTTTAAGAGAAGATTCTCTCGGTGTGCATACAGCACGCGTAAACTACAAAGTACAAATTGCGAAATATATTCTGGCGAGATCGAGTATCTCGAACCAGAAGGTACGAGAGAAGTACTGTCGGGAAATCTGATTAAATACGCGAAATAAAAAATCTCGCAAGAATTTATGCGACTCACGTGTACTTCAAGTCCTGTAAAACACTTTTGCAGAGCTTGGTGCACGGACCGAGCGTTGTCGCAATCAAGGAAATATATAGAATCTTCTTTGGGAGCGAAGTACGCGAAGCCTGTGATTACGCTTTTGGACGTGATGCACAGCGAATCCCGGCCGCGCACACCGATGATCTGTTTCTTAAGCATGGGATCGGACCCTACGCCTAGCATCGAGCAGCTCGCGAAGAGGATGGAAATCGTTTGTAGAAGCATATCGATGGGACAGGGTCAAGAAGTTCATGCCCGTCGACTGCTGAGTAGCGCGAAAACCGAAGTACATTGTTAGAGGAGAGTCCCCTATTTTAAGATGGGTTCTTCATACGAGACAGCGGAGTTTCTGCAAAATTAATAGACATCGTCCGTTGGTTCCACCGTGTATTTGTCGATTTGAAAGTCGTTTAGTGGAAAATTCATTGTTAGACGACGCGTGCAATCATTGCGAGAAAAGATTTGAAATTGCTTGTTGAAAACCTGCCATCTCATATTAGGAGCCTATCTCGTAACAGAGGACTTTCCTCTACAGAAAGGAAGGCTTCTTCCCTTTCCGTGTTTGCGAGGCAACTGTTAACATAAGCAACTTGCAGGGCTATTGGGCCTTGTGCCAAAATTGTCACTTGGGCCTGGAGTACATGGCGGAATTGACGAACTTCCTTGTAGAAATGGAGGCGCCACACCCGAACTTCCGCGTGTGGATCACGACGGAACCGCACAAGGACTTTCCCGTCTCCCTCCTGCAGATGTCTATAAAATATACATACGAACCCCCGCAAGGCATTTATTTTTATTTCCTTAAACAAAGACGTATCCCCGCGTAAGGAAGCGAGGGAGGGCATAATCAAGGTGTGATTCCCGCGTTAGGAATACGCGCGAGTTTATTGGCGACGTACAGCAGCATGAATCAGGAAATATTGGACCAGTGCGACGCCACGCAATATATACCGCTAATATACACCGTGTCATTCCTGCACACCGTTGTTCAGGAAAGACGGAAGTTCGGTCCCCTGGGCTGGAACATACCTTACGAATTTAATTCGGCGGACTGGTTGGCGTCGTGCATGTTCATAAATAATCATCTCAACGACTACGATCCGAAGCGCGGTATAAATTGGCAGAGCGTGCGGTAAATGAAGAATTTCAAGTTCCCAGTTCTTGTTTCCCTTCTCTTAGCTCTCTGTCTCTCTCTTTCTCTCACGTTTCTGGATTTTCAGTTACATGATAGGCGAGGTGCAATATGGCGGACGCGTCACGGACGACTACGACAAGAGGCTGTTGAATACCTTCGCGAAAGTGTGGTTCACGGAAGCGCTCTTCGCCGAAGGTTTTACCTTCCACAAGGGCTATCCGCTTCTGATTCTCAAGCAAGTGAGCGACTATCTGAAGGCGATAGATGCCATGAGTCCTGTGGACCCGCCACAAGTATACGGCTTGCACCCGAATGCGGACATTACGTAAGATATTGCCGTGGGAGGCGACGCTGAAAGAAAATTTTCGCCAGTCGCGGTTTGCTAAAAATATTTTTATTTAAATTAGTAAGGCTCGTATGTGTTCAACACAAATTTCAAAGAATTTAAAGGACTCAGAGCCGTGACAGGATGGTAGTGTCTAAATATTCTATTCTAAATTTATTGCGAAAAAATATCACCTCGGCCAGGGTTGGAACCTGGACCTCCCTCTCGCTAGGCGGGCGTCTCAACCAATTCGACCACCGAGGCACATGGCAATACCCATCGCAATAAACAGTCTAATGTTGATTCCCAAGTGCCACCTATCTTGACAGTATTCGAAATTGAGAACTGTGCGCCGACTTGATTTGTCAGTCTTAAAACACAGTATTATCTCCACAATGTATCCCCATTATTACGTTCCCCCCTCCCCCGATTTAATAATTGAAATGAGAGTAAGAAACGCGTTTTTCACGTTCGCGAAATTAAATAAATTAGTAAGGCTCGTATGTGTTCAACACAAATTTCAAAGAATTTAAAGGACTCAGAGCCAATATTTTTATCCTAAATATCAATATTTTTATTCCTAAACCACAGCGAGCGATTTGCTGTCGCATCTAACGCGATAGGCACAGTGGCCAAATTTTTAGCTGTCGCGACTAAACATTAGCTGTCCGTGTTTTACAACTGAAATTTAGTTGCCGCAGGTAGTTTTGTCCCGTGATGCACCGATACGTAAGATAGTTGAAAAACTATGCTTGTCGTGTTTTAGATACCAGACCAACACCACGCAGACTGTATTAGATATAATAACCTCCGTGCAGCCGAAGGAAGCTGGTGTCGTTGGCGCAGAATCTCGAGAAGTAGTCGTTGCAAGGCTGGCGAAGGAGATGTTAGAAAAAGTTCCGGGACTCTACGACATGTTTGAAGTTAAAGAGAGGTCTACCTGCTGTCTTTGAATCTTAACCAATTACCTTTAGTAACAATCGATAAAGCATAACGGGCCCAGCAAGCACTGCCCGCGTTACGACCATGAATTGGCAGTAGATTTTGCTCAGATATCGCAGCAGATTTGCGTCGATATTCATTTACGTCAATATTAAACTCGCGTTACAATCCGACAGCAGATTGTCGGCGGAAACCGAGCAAAATTCGTCATCCCGCGGAGATTTAAATGGAATACATAATTTAAATAGTTACGAAACAGCAGTTTCTGTTTAATTCCTGCAGTCAATTTGCCATTTACATTTTGTTAACAAATTCCATTATATTTCCGGTGGCGTTCTGTCGACAAAATTTGCAGCAGGTTTCGAAATCTATTCTCGAGACGGATTCGGCTGTTCGGGAGAGAACGGATAGGTTTTTTTTAAAAATTAAATATAAAAGCAACAAATCCCTCGAACGTTACCGCAGATTACACGCGATGGATCGTACCGCCCCGATGAACATTTTCTTGAAACAAGAGATCGACAGGATACAGGTGGTTATAAAATTAGTACGAGTCACGCTGAAGGATCTTCTCCTGGCCGTGGAAGGCGTGATTATAATGAGCGAGGTAATCTCCTTGGACTCCCCTAATTACGATCGTTGCATAAAGCGCGGTGCTCCGCGGGGTGAATAAATATGAATGTGTTTGCAGGAACTGCGAGACGCTCTCGATAATATATACGACGCCAGGATACCGAAGACCTGGAAAGCTCGATCATGGGAGTCCGCCACGTTGGGATTCTGGTTCACGGAGCTGTTAGAGAGGAACCAGCAGTTCTCGACTTGGCTGCACAGCGGCAGACCGACCAAGTTCTGGATGACTGGCTTCTTCAATCCGCAAGGCATTTGACATACACTTATTTCCGCGCTAAATGAAACGTTCAACGTGTCACACGAGGTGCATGACAACCGGCGCACTTGCAGGATTCTTGACGGCGATGATGCAGGAAATAACGCGCGCTCACAAATGGGCTTTGGATAACGTTACGCTCCACAATGAAGTCTTGCGTAATATGGCAGAGGAGATCAAGACACCGCCATCTGTACGTAATGATAATTACGCGACTCACATACAAAATCCCCCGTAAAATAATTAATGATGTCGATGTTCGCGGAAACAGGAAGGTGTTTACGTTTATGGCCTGTTTCTCGAGGGTGCCGGCTGGGACCGAAGAAACAGCCGTTTGTGCGAATCGGCGAATAAAGTCCTTTACGTGTTAATGCCGGTGGTACATATCTTCGCCCTACACAACGCCCCAGACAAGAGCCCGAAATTATATCAGGCAAGTACAATACGATTAGTATACTTCAATTTAATTATAAATGAACCAGTGAGAACGCAAAAAGGCACGTGACATTTTCGCCGAAATTGAGTCAACGGAATAAAAAAAAAGTCACTTATAGTCGCCAGTGATGATTAAAAATTAAAAAAGTCAGCTTATTGTCAACCCAACTGGCAAATTTTATGTTCGATTCGAACCTCAGTGATGTTCGAATGTGCTTTTATTTTTATCTTTTGACTCTATCTCACGGACGACGATGACTCGTTTACGAATTTTTCCTGTTTTCCTATTTGTATTGTTACTTGAAAAGGACCGAAAGTAAGTCCGAAACGTTGTAACTAATTCAATAAAATTCGCCAGTCGGGTAGACAATAAGTTCACTTTTTAATTTATAATCGAAATGTTGAAAAAACTCTTTTAATGAAACCTCATTTGAAGCCTCCTCTTCAGAATAAAGTAGCAAAAAACTTACTGGACAATTTATATTACATTATAGAACACAGTTTTCTTGTTTCTCTCAAATATACAGGATGTTATGTAACACCCGCCTCACCTCTTATTTACGGATAGAGCGGATTAGATTGAGTCGAAAAGTCCTCCACCAGTTTGCAATTTTCTTAATAGTTAACGAGTTATTAATTATTAAAATCGCTGTCTTAGCCCGGCCTGCAGTCCAATTCAAGCTCGCGGTGAGATGCGGCCGTCCCGCGATCGGCGTTGCTAGGCGCGCGGGGACTTGTTTACGACACACAGCAAGGGCTACGTATAATAAACTCCCCGCGCGCCCAATCGCGGGACAGCCGTGTCTCGCAGCGCGCTTGGATTGGGCGGTAGGCTGGGCTAAGACAGCGACTTTTAATAATTAATAACCCGTTAACTATTGCGAAAATTGCAAAATGGTAGAGGACTTTTCGAGACAGTCTAGTCCGCTCTATTCGTAAATAAGAGGTGAGGCGGGTATGACTTAACACTCCGTATAATTTCGTCACGTGTACCATTTCGGCCCCAATCGATTCAATTACGATTCAGAATAAAGTATAATAATAGTACGATATTCTAATTCTAACGCTTCCTTTCCTGCACAGTGTCCCGTGTATAAAAAGCCTCAGAGGACTTACACGCTGTTAATAACACCGCTCTGGCTGCAAACTCTAAAAAATCCCGATTACTGGATATTACGTGGCGTCGCTCTGTTATGTGATAATAAATAATTTGTTATAAATAAAGGGAGGAAGCTCACAGGAACTGGGAGTCTCCAGAATGGGTTTATTCGGTGAAAATAAATCTTCGCTTTCGCACGGGAGAATTAAGCCGGGTGTTGGACGGGACGGGTTGCCGGCCATTGACGAAATCGCTGGAGATTAATTGAAATAATTAATAAAAAAAGTTTCAGCTTCAGGTCGCGCTTACAGAAGTCGATAATTTCCGGCGACAAACCCGAGTTACCGACGCCGAGGAAATCGCGGGGCAGTAAGTAGCGTACTCTGCTTCGCAGAGGGCGAACCGCGATGGCGTAAGATTCAAATTGCGCGTTTGCGACGTAACGCGAAGCGCGAGCGCTTCGCACCGAATCTGTGTTGTTGTTGTTCGTAATCGCGCGTGAAATTAATCGCGATCGGCGTCGCACCAACCTCGCCCGCGACGTGAGCAATTAATTGTCTTGCTCCACGCATTTTACTGTCCGCGCCTTTACTCATTAATCGGATCGCCCCCGATTTCTTGGACTGTCATCGTCCCTTCGCTTTTCGGAAGCTGCGTGAGCGATATTTGGCTTACGACCAAGATAAATAACATAAAGATGTGATGTTTTTGCGTTAAAGAGAAACGATCGAGTCTTTTTTTTGAAAGTAAGATTATCGCGTTGCGCTCAAAGATCTTGTTCGTATCAAGTCGTATAAAGTGAAGGAGGCCTAGAATATTTATAGCCATTAGGGTAAGGAGAGTAATAGCAGAAAAAAATGGGATAAAAATTTTTCAGGAAAAAGCTAAGGCGCTCCATAACTTAAGAAGTCCTTCTTCCACGTGGAATATTGAAAAATCCCTTTTCGCTTTGCAAATTTTTTATCCGATTCAACTAATTCAATTGTTATGAAAATAAATAGCTGTGATAATTATTAAAGTATTTTGATTCAATAAATTACTTAAAATATTTGCGTAAATTTTCTCTCTCTGATAATAAAATATTTTTTGTTTGTCGTGTTATCGTGCTTTAAATAAACATATGTGCCAGTTATCGTCGACATCATCATCTTTTGTTATTTTTCTTCACCCACTGGCGATCCACCTTCTCCAAGTTTATTTTTTGTTTGGTTTTCAACCAAGAATTATTATAATTTTGTACAATTATAGTTTAAACATATACATCGAAAGGAACTCTTTTATCAACTTTTTCTAATTCATATTTAATCTTTGAAATTTTCTATTAAAAGTATTCATCGTATCAATATCAATTCTAATAAAAAAATATTTGAAAAGGAGAAATACAGTGGCACGACTAAATTAAAAATTCTCTATAGATAATTATAATTTTCTATTCTAAACAAATGCTAATATTCTACACTTGTCATTTATTAAATTTCTTCAGCTCTCTTCTCTTTTCTTCGTTCTTTGCTGAACTTGAAAGTCGGATTTATTATAATCTATGCGTTAACGGTACAGAAGCTTTAACAAAATAAAACTATTAGTATGCTGTGTCTTTATGCAGTTCTTGACTTTAATTCAATTACAAGTTTTCTGGATATCTCACTTGTGCTTGGCCATTTGTGTGTAAAATATTCGACAGATTAAAGACTGATCCGGTTAATCAAAATAAAGATGTTAATTTATCTCGGCCCCTCTCCATTTTAAGATAATAAATCTCTACAAGATATTATATTTACTCACCTCACGGCTGCTCCGCCGGATGCCTCCCGGGCCGCCTCCTCAAATTCGTTCGTTACACTCGCAGCTCGCGAAAACACGGCTAATTATGATCGCACGGTACTTTGCGTGGCACTGCCGACCTTAATCAGACACGGCGCGTACTTTATCATTGCACTTACGACGGAAAAGCAACGCGGGGAAAATATAATACGAAAGTCTATAACCCGCTTGAAATCCGCGATTCACGCGGAACTAAGGAAACGTGAAATAACGAAAGGTTTTGTCATACCACAAACAACGTTCGTAAACTTCGAAATATTAACACACGTATTCAACTATGACTGCGTTCATTTATTAATTGAACGATTGAAGAATTAATTGCGACGCCCGCGCCACTTGACTCGCGTTCTCTACGCGTCTTCCGTTTGTAATAAAATATTCGAAAATGACATTGGTATTTCGATGTAATATGATTAATGAATAAAATCGAATCAATAACTACTTATTCAAAAATAAAAAATTAAATAGGCGCGCCATACATTTTGAATGCAAAAATCCAATACAATAAGAGCAATGTACAATATTAATGCTTCCCATTACTTTAATTACTCGACCCGGCAATCCGCATTAATTCTCTCTATCCGAAAGTGTCGAATAAATTACGTTTAAATCGAGAAAAAAAGTTCGGAACGCGAAACGAGATGCATTAGAATCTAAATTTCAAAGGAGTAATTGCATGAGTGGCGTAATATAAAATCAATTTATAATTCTCGTCTCCCATCGCTCCGCGATAAATAAATACGTTCGCATGAAATACTTCGATAAACAGCTAATATATTTTCAGTCATTAGTCGAGGAAGTTAATTAATAACGAGCTGCGTATGTGTGGTAAGAATTGATCGCTTGCACAAAATAATTTTGCGTTTGAAAAAATATATAACATAATGATGAAGCAACGGAGTCATTTTCCTCCGCTGAGGTGAATCTCACCGTGCGAACGACAATGTATAGTGGTTTGCGACGCAACAGCGCGCGGTGAATGTTATCAAAACAAATATCAAAGCCAACAAATATGTCAGTCAGTTTAATCACGTCTATCACGAAATATTTATCGTATTATGCAACAACTATGCGCTGAATATTCTGTTCCTTGTAGGTATTTCAAATTAATTATCAGCACATGATTGGTATAACATCGCTTTTCGATACTCGCTAGAAATGTGCCGATCTACTCGTATTTGTTATTCTTAGCGATCTATTCTCAAACCAATCAAACTGAATCAGAAGTTTAAAGCGTGATACGGTATTCATTTACAAACCACTACGGTATATATTTAAATCCAAACGTCGTTAAGGGAATAATTATTGGCCATAAACACCGTTAAATTATAACACATAAATCATATTTTCTACCATTCTGATCTGTCTCTAAATGAATTGCATTTGTTTCGAAATGTAGTTGTCGATAAGTTTGCAAATTTTTAATCGCGCGGGCTAGTAATCGTTTACTCAGTTTACTGTAAAATACGATTGGATAATATTCCGTAATATATCGCGAGTTATAATCGAGAAGTAACGTGCCGCTGCGCTGAATATTCCGTGCATTTCAAATTAATTTCAGTAAATAAGCCATTACTGCAAATATTTTGCGCTTTGTCTTGTAGATTCATTAGCGTAAGATAATGATTAATTCCGTTTGATTAAGATAGTGTTCTGAAATGGAAATACCGTTAGTTGAATCCTAATTCACGAGAGAATTTGCATCAATCTGCTTGACATGTATATAAATGTATGCCACTAGCAACAAATTACTAACAAGAGCAAACTTTAACGTTTAGCACGTGCGAGTTATTTCGTTCCTTCTTCTACTGACAATTTCAATCGTTGATTAGGTGTGAAAAAGGAGAATTATAAGTTATTTACATAAATAATACATTGTGTCGTCATTTTCAAATTATTGATCAAGATTTATCTAAACTAACTTATTGTTATTACTTAAGAGAGAGAATTGAAGTTATATAATCCTCTAAAAAAACTCTGGGTTTAAGATAAACTTTATCCGAGTTTCTCAATCGGATCCGCGATTGCAAATGTAATATAAAGAAAATCAAATTGAGTCTCAAGATCTTCTTGTTAAATTTACATTACGTTATTGAGTAGGAATATAATTAAATGTGCGCTTAAGACAGTTGCAGCCTAATTAGTTTGCATTTTTGTAAATTATTGTTTCACTGCTTGCGAAAAACGAGTTGTGTGACAGCGGTAAGTCGTGTAATAATTTTTCTAAATTTGCGAGGGCAAATTTTCTCAAAGGGACACGTATTCGTGTATATTATGTACCTATCTTCTTCGTTATAATACTGTCTGTCCATGGGCGTATCCAGAGGGGGCAGGGGGGGGGCAGCTGCCCCCCCCCCTAGACTCAATGAGATCCCCATTGAGATTACGAATAATATAATTAATAGATTTGCCGAGGACTCCAGAAAATTAATTTTTATATAAATAAAAAAATTTTTGTATAAGTACGTAGTTTAATTTATGCTGCATAATTCACCTACGAGTGAATCCTGTTCTGCCCCCCCCTAGACAAAAGTCTGGATACGCCCATGTGTCTGTCATACTTTCTTTATCTACTCATCGTAATCAGTTGTAAAAAAATTAGTGCTCCACAATCATCCTGTATCTTACTGTAATAGTTTTTTCACCAAACAAATTCCTAACGATCCACTTTGTGGCTAGGGAAAAATTCGTAAGATATAAAAGAGAACTCGAGACTACTATTTTGATACTCCGAGAGCACGCACGATATCTCAGTTACGATAGGAGTAACTGCTCAAGTTGTAACGAGCGAGGTGTTTTTCTTTATTGTCGCGAGATTCTTTTTCGGAGATTATCCTTTATTATGTTAGTTTCCCGCTTTTATAATCGACGTTTATAACTTGAAGCACCTCTCGGCCGCGCTCGTTACGCGGGACGCGCCACTTTCGCCATTAATTCGGCGGTTTGCCACGGCGAGTGGAATGCGAGCGCGAACAATGCCGGTGGGCCTAAATTAGGGAAGAAGAAGAAAATAGTGAAACATTTTGTTCCGCAGTATCCCATTACGTTCTATGGCTTTCAACGTATCGTCGTGTTATCCGGCTGATATATCTCGTATGTCTATCCACCCTTGCGCCACCGTTAATAGCAGGCAATTTCGTGTTCCCTCGGCTAACCCGTGTAATTGAGCCAATGTGTGTTAATCAGAGGCGCCTCATTTGCCACGGGGAATAGTCCAAATTGCTTTTGTTACCTGGAATATCTTGGTGTGCGGCAATGCCTGTATTGATTCACAAAATTGATACTCTGCCTAAAATATGCAAAACGTGTACCGTCGCGCGAAACTACGAAACGCAACGAACGCTGATACGTGCGCGAGTCGAACGGCACCGTATTCCTTCGACGAAAGTACATTCAACTTTTGTGGCTCTTACCACAACGCGTCTCGCCTCCTGTGCGAACAAATGTTACGTGAAATTGCAAAATATTATACTTAAGTAAACGAAATATTATAAGACAATTGTAACGAGCAATGTTACACGCAATAGAAACGTTCCCGATTTCGAATATACTTTCTACATTATTTTAATATAATTCACGATAATGCTGAAACACAGCAAATATTTCGCGTGGGATAAATAGCTCGTGACAGATTTTACAATACGATTTCAGTGCATATCCACATACCTCGTACGTGTGTGTGTCGCGTTTGAAATATTTCTGCTTTACAAAAATTTTTCATTTGCATATAAAATGTGCGACACAGCCGTCGTTATTGAGACGCACATTGTTTATTTGTCATTGACGAAATTTTGATAAAATTTCAAAAATCACGTCTATTGATACAATCCATTGGTCGAGGGCCGTTATGGTAATGGAGATCTACGATGCAGGTTCTAGTTTAATGTATACGCGCTAACTACGTGTGCTAGCGACTAGTACAATAATGTACTATTGCCAGGGGATCACATTGGTCCGAGTCAGCGCAGTTAATTTTCGATAGCTCCGAATCACCCTCGTGGTAATTGTCGTCCGTGACTTCAACCGTTAGTCGTCTTTGTCTACTTGTTCTGTATGAAAGCAGTACAGTTTGATTTCTGTAGCCACTAGCGGTCGCATTGTATTCCAATATGCAGAAGATTTAATTATCTCGACATTACGAATAGCCTGCATTTGAAA